CAATGAACAAAAGCATGAAAATATATTACACAAATATGTTCCTTTCTCTTCTTCAGGCACAAATAGTGAACAAGAAGAAGAAATCAAGAAGAAGGAATTAGAATTTTTGTGGTGAGGGAAAGGAGTAGCTGCTGCACAGTAAAGAGAGGAAAGAGAGAAATTAATAGGTTAACAGATTTACAAAGTTGGAAGGGACTTCATAGGTCATCTAATCTAACCCCACCACCCAAGCAGGAGACCCTACACCATTTTTGACAGAGGGCAGTCCAGCCTCTTCTTGAAAGCTTCCAGTGAAAGTTTCCATAACTTTTGAAGGCAAGCTGTTCCATTGGCTGATTGCTCCCACTGTCATAAAATTTATTTTTATTTCAAGGTTGAATCTCTCCTTGTTCAGTTTCCATCCATTATTTCTTGACTGGCATTCAGGTGCTTTGGAAAATAGATTGACCCCCCCTCCTCTCTGTGGCAGTCCCTCAGATATTGAAACACTGCTATCATGTCTCCCCTGGTCCTTCTCTTCACTAGACTAGCCATGCCCAGTTCCAGCAACGTTCTTTATATGTTTTAGCCTCCAGTCTCCTAATCATCCTGGTTTTACAGAATGGTTTGAAATTCAGAAGGTAAACATCTGCTAAGGCTGAGCTTGTCCTCAAAGGGATCCATGCTTATCAGCAATGAAGTCTACAGCTGTTGAGGTAATTCCCCGTTAGGCAAATGAGTGCACACAGGGAGACGTAGTGAGAGTGGTGAGGAATAACACACAACCAGCACACAGCTACACTGTATAGTAAAATGTAGGTTTTTACTTCCAGTAAACAGTTAAGGAAAGTCCAACAAGCAGTCCAAGTCATACATGGTTATAGCAGTCAGTTTTCAGTCCAGGGATAATCCAATAACAAAGTCCAGTATCAAAAAAGTTCAGTAATAGACTCACATCAATCCAAGAATAATGACGATCAGCAACAGCCAATAGGGAAATGCAGGAATGGCAACACTCTCTAGAACTAACAACCCAGGTTTCTGGCTCCATCTTATGGCCATTTGAGGAACCACACCCAATTACAATTTTAGCATTCCCTTAAAGAGACAGTATTAAAATATCTATCCTGGTTTATATATTTCCAACCCAACTGTTAGGTGACTTATATTCCTAGCAACAGCCATTGGAACCTCCTGCCTAGCTGTTCATTTTCAATAGCCTTCTATTCTTCTCAATGAATGCAACTGACCTGCCCAGTGTCGATTCAAAGTTGATTATTTAGGCAAAACATAGATTATTTTCAGAAAGCATGGTACTAATTCCCTTAAATCATAAGAACCTAGCTTATGAGAAAAGTCTGGACTTTTTCACTAAAAGGACAAAGAAAGCATAGTTTGAAAGTGTGATCATAACAAATGGACTTGAGAAAGTCCGACTATATATAAAGAGATTCTCTTGCTCATTTTAACATCCAGGCTGGTTCATATCAAGATAGGTAGTCCCTCAGACACTAGACCACAAGCTATTTAGTTTGGTAAGAGTAAAAATCAGCACTCCCTCTTGAAAAAAAAAGTCTAGAAAACAATTGACAACCAGGGCAACTCTTTCATCAATAGAATAAAATCTTTGTATTGTTCACCATTTGGCATTGTCAGTTGGTGTTACATGAGCAAACAGTTCTGAACATTCCTTAAGAACACACTACACAGCAACCAAATCAGATGGAACTACAATTCCAGTTTGTCAATTTTCCTTTTACCAATAACACCTCTGTCTTGTCTTGATTTAATTTGAACCTGTTCACTCCTGTCCACTACTTTTTTGTTGGTTTTACACAAGTCAATAGTTCTGAACATTCCTTAAGAATACACTATATGGTAACCAAGCCAGATGGTTGTTTATGTGTTAGATTTATATTCTGCCTTTCTTTTGTTCAGGGCCTCAAGAAATATACAAAACATTCCCAACTTCTATTTACCCCTGCATTTGTATGTCCATGAGGTGGGTTTAGCTAAGAGAGACTGACTAGCCCAAAGTCATCCTGTGAGCATCTCTAGGGGAGGACTGGAACCTGGAACTCTCCCCACCCCCGAAAATACCTGAATTCCTACACACTCAAGTTTCAGTCAAAATAATCAGCTGCTCTTTTTCTAAAGTTAGTTTCAAAGCAGAACAATAGTACCTACTCTAAGGTTCTCAATGACTCCTCCCATTCTAAAGGCAGCCAACTTACAACAGTAGAAGAAATTCAATGTCATATCATAGAATACTTCTATTATGTCTTGAGGCTAAATGCCTTCTTTGTCAGGCATACATAGCAGTGGTGGCTAACCTTTTGGGGCTTCCTTGCTAAAAATTGCACGCGTGCTCACATGCCAGCACCCAGAAGGCAATGCATGCACCCCCTATACCCCCTGCACGTGTGTGTGTGAGCCCCCCATGTGCACGGAGCATCTCTGCGCATGTACACAAGATCCCCCGCACGTGCCCTGTGCAACTCTGTGCATGCGCACGCATCTCCTGTGCACCTCCACCCCCCCATGCATGCCAGATACCCAACAATCAGCTGTCAGGCAGGTGGTGCACGCACATGCGCAGTGGGGCTCTTCCAGGTGACCTTTCACTCCATGTGCCACTTCTGGCACTTGTGCCATAGTTTGCCATTATGGATATAGAGACTCAATGTACAGGAACTCAAAGTCCTGCAAAATATGCATATTTTGTCTACATTGGAGCAGGAGAGACACAGTTGTATGATGGAACATCAAAAATGTGTGCGTGAATGTGTGTGTTGAAAGAGAAGCATATACAACACACACAATTCTATAATTATGTGCATAAGGAAACAATGTAAAACTAGATTAGCTCCCACTAGTATGTTTTAATCTTTTAAAAAGCTAATCATCCTTTTTTTTCCTCTAGGCTGGGTGGCCAATTACTTTTTTGATAGGTCTTCCTTCTCACAAGGTTAGTACATTGGGATCTCAAGATAGGCAGGACTAAAATAAATGGGAAAAATCCAGAAACGTATATGGACACTTGTTTTCTGCCCCCCCCTGCCTTCCTCCCTCCCTTCCCCTTCTCCCCCCCCCCCCCTCCCTTCCCCTCCCCCCTCCCCCCTCTCTCAATCCCCCTCCTTCTGATTCCTTATTAAGTGAAAAGAGGACTTAAATTCTTATTTTTTTCTGATAACTTATGGAAACTGATCATTAAACCAGAACCATACGATAAGGAAAGCCAATTTAAAATGTATTAAAATTAATGTTCCATGAAAAATTCCAATGAAAAATTCAGTCTTTTGAGATCATTATTAAAACACACAGAAAGTGTCTAAAAGAATTAAAAACTTCCCCAAGCAATAGCCCTACAAAAAATAGAAAAGATCAGCACAAAAAGAGTTTATTTTTAAGGAGGTCAAAAGAGAAGGAAAGTTGTAGCACAGGACAAAATAATTATTCAAGATACTTCAAAAATAAAATTGCTTGTCTCTCCATCTTGAGATGCCAGAAACTAAAATCCAACAACAGAGACTATTGTTAAGAGTCTAATTATTTTTTGAGAAGCAATATCTCACATGCAGACCTCATTATTCCTAATAACTTGCCAAAATATTTTGGTAATCTGTTCAGTTGCTACTTGTGAATTGGTTCAGTTTCTCTCAAAATTGACACCATCTTCGTTAACAGCTGGAACAATAAATCATAATTCCTTTATCCTCTGTCCTCCCTTCATTGCCCCATCTTACCCATCATTCTATTCCAATAAGCAAAAGCCATAAATCGGTCCATCATTTTTTCCCTTCTGGTCAACTCCCCTCCCTCCAATTTCTTTAATTTTCATTGGTGTTTTTCCTATTCATTGGAGCTTTAAAACTTCAGCTTTAGACTGATGCTATTTCATTGGATTGTTATTTAGCATAGCAAAGGAAATTGTACTTTACAAAATTACAAAGGTTAGATACTGTTGGAAATCCCAATGTTCTTTTGTGAATAAAGGCTATCATAAATGTTAAATTTTAGCATAGCTCGGTGAGAAAACTCATTTAAAAAAAACTTGTGCAAAACTAAGTATATTTACTCTAAAACAATTTAAAATCTTTTTGTAATCCTTTCTACTAATTTCTTTTAATTAAAAGTAATTCTGTTTAGGCATACATTGTTCTATAACCAGGCTAGGATAACGCAGAGTTAAGTTGTTTTCTTTTCCACCTTTAATTCCTTATTTTAATTTAAAGCGTTGTGTTATCTTTCAACAAAATAACTAGCTTTCGTGATCTCTTGAAGCTACAGAGGGATTGATCATTTTATCAGCTTTATTGCAGTGATTTACTTTCCAAGAGAATTTTCACTAACCTACTTATAGTTCAGTCAGCATCCATAAACTGGGAAAACAGCAGAACAACATGGATTATTAAAGCAAGAGCTCAGTACGCCTTTTTTATAATATCCTGACCCTAGAAAAAGTTTTAAAAATGTCCAGAATACTGTGAAAGGAAAGGTTTTTTTTTTTTTTTTGAGGCGTGAATAAGATATCTGGCATTGCTTTTTGAAATTAGATCAAGAAGCTTGTATGACATTAGGGCATGAGTGTCTACTTCTAGGCTCTTTTACTCATTAGTTAATTTGTATTTTGGAGGAAGAGTAATTGTTATATAGCTGATGTGACACTGATGCACACCGAATAAGACAGTGTTCCACAGTGTTTCTCAACTTTGGCAACATTTAAGATATGGGTCTTGAACAAGTTGAGGCTGGCTGAGGAATTGAAATCCACTTATCTTAAACTTCCCGAGGCTGAGAAAAACTGGGATCAGATGTGTTTATAAAATACTGCTGCATATTCATTTGTGCTGTTCCCAGCCTGTATGAGGAAGGACCTCCTGTCTGTATCATTACTGTTAAGATGATTCTTAATAGATAAATAATTTGTTCAGATCTGGTCCTTTGCTTTAACATATGATTATTCTTGTAAATCTAGTTCTAACTACTAATTTAGCTGTACCCACTTCTTTCTCTTTTAGGTGGTTTTTTGGGGCTATTAAACGAGCAGATGCCGAGAAACAGCTCCTTTATCATGAGAATGAGACAGGAGCCTTTCTAATCCGAGAGAGTGAAAGTCAAAAGGGTGAATTTTCCCTTTCAGGTACCCTCCACTTTTTCTGTCCTAGAAATGTTGTTAAATTAAATTAAATTAAATTTTTCTTAGTTTGGTTTAAATAAACTGGCAGCTGTTGTTGGTGATCATACACATTTTTTATCTGGTGAGTGGGTCATTCTTTAGAAGCAAACATACATACAGATTTGAATGCCTATGAATGAATGCTTTTGAGAAGCATTTAAAGATTGTTATTCGGTGGCACAATGGTTAGAATGCAGTACTGCAGGCTACTTCTGCTGCTGCTGACTGCCTACAATTTGGCAGTTCAAATCTCACCAGGTTCAAGGTTGACTCGGCCTTTCATCCTTCTGAGGTCAGTAAAATGAGGAGCCAGATTGTTGGGGGCAATAGGCTGACTCTATAGACTGCTTAGAGAGGGCTGTAAAACACTGTAAAGCAGTATATAAGTCTAAATGCTATTGCTATTCCTTAGGTTTTTAGCAGAGGGTGCTTTTAGCAGAACTGCTTTTGGGTTCTTTTAAAGAAAAAAAAGTTACCTCATAAGCTTTGTGATCCTTCCTTGAATCATTTGGGACAGGGAAGCTAAATTACAGAAAATTTTGTTTATCCCAACCTTAACCTAAAATATTTTCTCAAAATATATCCCAACCCTTTGCTTTCCTTTCTACAAGGATTTTTGTCCCCCAAATCCAGACAATCATTATATGGCAGCAGAGGGTTAAGATTTGCTGACATCTAGTGGTTATCCATAAGATTACAGCCCAGGTATTGTAGCCCTGCTTTCTTTATGAAAATATTTCCATTCCAGCAAGACTTCTTCCCTCTTGACACCCTTGCAAGTGAAGCTTTATAAATTGATTCATCTCAGGAACCTTTTAATCTACATGTAATTGTTGCTGAAGGTTAGATTGTTTTTTTAATCTATGAAAAAGGCAATGGTAAACTATTTCCATACAGCAGAAACAGCAAAACAGAAAGAAAACAACAGTTGTGTCCACATTTATTCACTGGGAATCAGTCTTGACTCAAGACTTTAATAAATAATCAGTCCAATAAAAATGTAAAAAAAAACAGAAATATTTTTTTATTGGCAAATTTGATGCTTTTCTCTAATATCACCCTCGCCATAAAATAGTAACAACAGTTGCTTTGAAATTACTCTGAATAAAATCAATATGTTTAAAATATTTATAGTTTCTTTCCAAGCCTATAGAGTATAGGGAATATGGATAATACATCGTGAGTTTTTGTTAGTTTATTGCCTATATTTTCTGACAGAATGCAGGTCACTTATGTTGGCTTGCAAGACAGCCTATGTATGGATTAGAGATCCTAGTTGGGCTTGGTGTGGCTAAAATGACAAACAACAGAAGTAACAAGTTTAAGAAAAAAAACAGAAGATAGGAAGAAGTGTATGGAAACAAGGATGGTTTGCAAGGTTAGGAAGATCTTTGGTGAGAATACCTTCAAGTCATTGTTGACTCTTGGAGACTTCCTGGACAATTCTTGGCAGATTTCTTTAGCTAGGTGTTTTGAAAATGGTTATCCCTTAACCGCTTCCTAGGGTTGAGAAAGAATGACTGGCCTACACCCAATTGTTTTCATGGGATTAGAATTTACAGGTTCTTTGTTTCTAGCCTAATGCCTTAACTGGCTCCTTAACCAACACCTTAAATGGCTCTTTGGAGAGAAATAATATACAATAAACACTCAGCTTAAGTGTATTTTCTTTTGTTTTCTGACGTCATCTCTTTAATTTCTTTGGCTTACTATTTCTTATCCTTTTTCTGTGCTTTGTATAATATTGCTTATCCTGATTCTAGCAGCATGAAGTGTATGTAAGTGTGATATGCAATAAAAGACGCTATAATTCAATGCTTTTCACTAACCCTATTTTATTGATGTAGAATGTGCATTTGAAAACTGGAAGTAAACTTTAAAAGTACAACAATAGGTTTTCATGACATGCACCCTCTTGTGGCAGATGATGGAAGTTGCATGTTCAAGGCATATTTTCCCTTGTTTTCAGTTTCAGTTTTCAGATAACTTTATTAGATTTTTGAAACTAAAGACAAAATCAAACACAAATTAATAAGATGGAAAAGAGAAAAAAAGTAAAGAATTAAAGAGAAAGCAAAGCCAAAGGTGCAGAATGAAAAGATGAAGAAATACAAAGAAATTACTCCTGACTTTCTTTTAAAACATATATATTTATAATTAGAAACAAGAGTAGATAATCAAGGCTTTCCTGATAAAATAATCAGTTTAAAGAAAGCAGGGTTAAGAATTCAATTAATATAGAATTATTGTGAAACCCTGCATATATTAAAGATATAAGTTATGCATCCAATCTGAGTTAAAAACAGGGATGCTGTTCTCCACATCAGTCAGTGAAAATTGTAAGGATAATGTGTAGCAATTGATACATTTATATTTATATCTGTGATTAATATCCTGTATGAATAAAATTATTTATACACAGTGACATACTATTGATCTTTTTCTCTGCACCATGATGCCACATTTGGCTTCTTTCTTTTCAATTTTTTGTGGAACAAGGCAGTTATGCAGTGAGTGATAACTTTATTTTGGTTAATGACCAACCTGAAACAAGGTATATAGGAAAACCCTTAGAAGAGCTTAACCCATGCTAAGTAGACCAAATCAGCTTTGTGCTCTAGAGAGAAGAGCAGTGCCATTTTAACCCTTTCTCTAACTTTTGGGCGGACTTTTAAAAACATAAACACATTTGTACTTATTTACTTTATTTAGTTATATTTATTACCTGTATACCTGGCCTTTTTATCTGGCTACTTAGATTTAGAGCATTAGAGCTATTAAAATCCAATTACCCTGTTTTCACTGGCAGAGGGTTGCAATAGGCTGTTGCACCCAAAAATGGAGCTTGGGAGCCCATTTTCGCTCTGAGAGCCCTTGGGCCGCCACAGGTGCCCCCGACACAAGTGATGTCAAGCTGACCATGCCCACTCTGGCCATGCCCACCCCGGTCCCCCGAGGTCAAACATAACCCTGATGCGGCTTTCAATGAAATCGAGTTAGACACCCCTGATGTAGAAGCTCACTTGAAGGACTCAGTTTTTATAAGCCATTGTGGAGGAGGACTACACAACAGCCTTCTCTGATTTCTTTGTAGGCATTGGAAAAACAAGGGATGGCATTTTTGTATCCTTTTATTTTCTTAGTTCGGGATGGAGCAACTGTGAAGCACTACCGAATCAAACGAATGGACAACGGTGATTTTTTTATGACACGGAGGGCAACATTTCACACTTTGAATGCTTTTGTCACGCACTACAGTAAATCCAGTGATGGGCTGTGTGTAAGGCTTGGCAGGCCTTGCATAAAGGTACAGTAAGTCAGAATGTTTCTCATCTCCCCCTAAAAATACAGAGATTAGTATTTGATCATTGAGTTAATACAGGTATGATTCCCCTACATGCTGTGATCATTACTCTAAGAAATGCACTTCATTGTATCATTCCATTCCTTAGGCATTTCATCATCATATCATTTCAGGCAAATAAATGTGCAATTGAGGTGGAAAAGACGCATGTCACTGTGTGATTTATGAAGTCACAGTATAAACTTATATTGAGATGAAATCTCTAAGCTCATAACTCTTTCTGTCTCCAAGTGGTGCCTGAAAACAGAAACCACAGATCCGATCAGGGTTGTAGAGACAGTACTTAAATATATTTTAAAGCTTGCTGGCTTTCTTCTGTCTCCATCTAGGGATATTTTAATCTCTGAGATACTAAAAGAAACACTTGAACAAAATCATCTATTAGTTGAATATCTGAAGCTTTTCCTACATTATAGATAATTTCAAATGCAGTTGCATCAGGATGTGAATGCGTTCACATTTATTTTTTTGATTCACTGAATCAAAAGAGTTGTTTCGAAGTGTAGACAGCACGAAGATTAACTCCTTGCATTTTTCAGGCTGCACAATGAATAAGCAAATTGTTTTTTTACAACCTATTTCTTCATCCACTTTTGAAATTTATTTTGATGAAAACAAGTCTGCCCTTTTATATACATCTCTCCTAAGACACACATTAAACAAAACATAAGGTTCTATAGTTCTCAGAGTTTAACAGTTGGATGTAAATATAAATTAAATTCATTCACATTAAAATATAAATCTGTCCAAGTTGAGGGGTGCTGTATTAAAAAACACCCAGTCCTCATGCAGTGCAGGATATGCAAATCCTAAGAGCAGGAAGAAGTGGAAAAAGAAGGCGTAAGAACGAGACACCAAACGAGAGCAAATAAGCTTCAACAAGAAACAACTACAGAGTAAGATGGTGGAAGAAATCAAATTGATTTCCATTAACATCAACGGTTTAAATTCACAAATTAAGAGGAAAAAAACGATAACCAATATTTCCAGATGATTCTTGCAATGCCTCCTCCTTTTTGTTATTTATCAGATTAATTAAATAAATCATGTTTTGACTTACCTATAATTATCCAGAGAACTTAAGTTATTAATTCATGTTTACTGGACATCTTCCTAAAACCCTCCAGAGATGGAAAACCCATTATTTTTATTAGCAGACTATTCCACTGTTGTACAGATTCATAATCAGTAAGTTCCTCCTTATGTATAAATAAGGAAGAAATCTAGGTATCTAAAATGTTTGCCTATTGCTTCAAGTCCTAGTTTCTCTGGCAATGGAAAATAGTTTTTCACAATCTTCCCAGTAAGACCCTTTTTATACAACCAAACACTTATATTATTCTTCCCTTTCTCCAGGTTTTTTTAGCCCCTCAGCCAATCTGTCCTTATAGGGTAAGACTTTAAGTTTCTGTATCACTTTAGTTGTCCGCACCTTCTCACTGTCAATACTCTTATGGAAATGTGGCACTCAGAATCTCATACTGTAGTCTAATAATCTTACTAAGGGAGAATTTCATGTGTCTTTGACACAGTATTTCTTCTTGAAGCATCCCATAACTTTGTTGTAGAACTATCTCACACTGTTGACAGCTTGTAGTTAGTGACCACAACCATGTCTGCTCTGATATAGCCATGAATTCCTCATCTTGTAGGTATGCTCCATTATTATTTTTTCCGCTGAATATAATACCTTGTCTATCTCTCAGTTGAAGGTCATCTACCATTTTATGAATAAAACAGCCTATGATAAAGTTAAGGTGAAGCCACAAGGTACATATAATAGCCTGTGTGTAGCCTGAAAAAATAAAGGACAAAAAGGAACTGTTGGAAATGCCATAATGTAGGTATCAAGCAAACTTATTTGACAGGGATATTTCACAGAGGTGATATAGCACTGCTTGCTTTATTGAGTAGACCCACATGAAAGGTAACAAGGCTAAAAAGTGAAAGAGGGATTCCTTCAATGGAATGGGAAAACTCACCATGGCCAACTTGCCATGGGAGAAACTTGCTGCAGAACAATTTAACAATTCAATTTAATTTTTAAAAATAAATGAAAAAATATTTTAATTTTTGTCATTCACATTTCATTCTGTCCCTCCTTTTGCATCCTTTCTTTCATGATACTATTCCACCATTTCTTGGATATTAATGCAATTCTGGTCCCGAAGTGAGTTGGCCTTGGCAAGTTTAGTATTAGTATTTTTAGTATTTATTTGATTTGTCAATCGCTTACAAGATACAGGTATAAAAATAAATATAGTTTTGAATACATGAGATGGATACTTATAAGAAAAATAAAAAACAATAGGACAGGGACGGTAGGCACGATTGGTACGCTTATGCATGCCCCTACAGGCCTCTTAGGAAGGGGGTGAGATCAATAGTAGACAGTCTAAAGTTAAAGTTTTTGGGGTTTGGGGAAGAAACCACAGAGTCAGGTAGAGTATTCCAGACATTGACCACTCTGTTGCTAAAGTCGTATTTTCTGCAGTCAAGTTTGGTGCGGTTAACCTTGAGTTTGTATCTCTTGTGTGATCTTGTATTGTTATGATTGAAGCTGAAGTATTCATTTGCAGGTAGGACATTGCAATGTATGATTTTATATATTATATTTAGATTGGACTGGAGGTGGTGTAGTTCTAGGTTTTCTAGGTCTAGAGTTTCAAGTCTGGTGGATAAGGTATTCTGCAATGAGTAGAGGAGCGGACAACTCTTCTTAGTATGAAGAGAGTTGGTCCAAAAACACTGTCTTGGGGGACACCACTGTTGACAGGTACAGAATTTGATAGGACGCTCCCAATTTTGACCATTTGTTGTCTGTTTGACAGTAATGCTTCTATCCAGTTATGTAGGTGTCCAGAGATACCATGCAATTTTAGTTTTAGTAGTAGTTTGTTGTGTACCACTGAATCAAAGGCTTTACAGAAGTCTATGTAGATTGCGTCTATTGCTTTGCCCTGATTGAGTTGTGTAGTCCATATGTTTTTGCAGTGTAAGACTTGCAGATTACAGGATAGTTTTTATTTGAAACCAAAATATTTATTAGAGAGTAGGTTGTTTGTCTCTAAGTGGAGGATAATGGATTGATTAATAATTGATTCCATAACTTTACAGGTGATGCAGCATAAGGAGATTGGTCTGTAATTTTCAACTAGGCTGGGGTCTGCCTTTTTGAAGATGGGGATGACCGTGGCTAGTTTTGGCAAGGAACTGGAGCGGAAAGATTTTTCAAAGATTATGCCTCAAGGTTCGGCTATGGCAGTGGATAGCTTTTTAAAGAAGTAGGCACATATTCCATCTGGCCCAATAGATAGGGATAGTTTTAGATTGTGCAGTGCTTTTTCAACAATGTCTTCTGTAAAATCAGTATGTATTAGATCATTGTAGTTTTCTGTGGTTGACTAGGAAGTACTGGGCTTGATCCATTGCTGTTTACAAATACTGAGCCAAAGAATGTGTTAAAGAGGTTTGCTTTGGTAGTGTCGTTGTTGCAGTCTTTGCCATTAGGTCCTTTCAGGGGTGGGATGGACCTTGAGTCTTTTAATTTGTTATTTACAAAATTGTAGAAAGCACAGGTGGAATTTGTGCGCTGAAAGTTTTCCTCTTGTTTGATGTGATAATTAGTGCATTCAAGTTTTTATCTGGTGGCATAGATTATTGTATCAGCTTTTGAAGTTGGCAACGTGACCAGATTTGTTTTTTCGCCAAAGTGATCTCTTTTTGGATTGAAGCTTCCTTATTGTTATGGGTAATCTGTTTTCCTGGTTTTGGGAGTTGTTATTGGTACATATAGTTTGATGGCTCCTTTGATTTCTAGTAAGAATATGTTGTAATGGTCTTCAACAGTATTGCATCCAGTGAATAGAAATTGCCAATCAAGGGAAGAGAGATCATTGATTATAAGATCATAGTTGCCTTTATTGAAGTTATAATTGGGGATTTTGTCATTGTGATGATTTTTGTGCAGACATATGTTGAGACAAAAGTCAATCATATTGCGGTCACTGTTGGAAAAGGGTTCTTTAATTTGTATTCTGTAAATTGAATTCAAACTGTTGCAGAATATGAGATCGAGGCAGTTGTTAAGCTTAGTATTGTTGGTTACTAGTTGTTCCAGTCCCAGATTTGTTACAGGGTTGTAGAAGGTTGCATGTATGGGTTCAGTTGTACATTCGTTTAGGGTCCAGTTAATATGAGGTAGTTTGAAGTCACCAAGAAAGATAAAAGTGTGTGGGCAGGATGCTGCCCATGTTAGTAGTGCATTTAGCTTGTTTACATGTTTGATGTCATGGAAGTTGGCCATGGTGAGCTTGCCATGGTGAGTTGGTTGGCTGTGAGGAATTGTCATAGACCCTTCTTCAGACAGCCTGGCCTCAAAAGGTAACATAATGCCTTTTAGGGATGTGAAGTTTAACACCAGTGTTCTGAATTGATTTAAGAGATGGATTAGTGGAAGTGTCACACTGTAATTGCATTGAATGGGCTCTGGCTACAGAATAAGTGAAGATTCTAAACCATTTTCAGTGCATAAAGGGCTTTGCCACAAGCATGTTGCAATAAGCACAATGCAATAAGCAAAGCAGGCAAGGATCAAAGTGGAAGTAATTACCAGAGGATTACTTATGTCTCAGGAATAACATGATCAGCATTACTCATAAGTGATGAAAAGTGACTGAACAGCAGAGCTCCTTGCACCTCTAGTGAATGATAAATCCAAGAACATCTCCATGCAATGCAGATGGTGATTGAAAAAAAGGGCAATCAGTTTGATGGTGCCAAGTTCTGTTCTTGATTGGACGGACAATTATTGACATCCAATTTTAGTATGGTAGGACTGATTCGATTTCAATTGCCTTATTTTAGTTAGATTTTAAAAAATGTTGGACTTTGCTCCTCACATACATCTAAACATGGCACAAACATGCTCTAAAGATATCCTTTCCCCCCCTGCTGTGTTTTTATGGTATTAGCTTCATCCCAGGTATATAAAACTGGTTAGGCTTTATTATTATTACTCTGGAGAAAAGTTGAATTTCTGTCATTGATAGGAAACAGAAGTGAGAGATGGGGTAGGCCATGGCACAGGACGTTTTGTGCTGGTACCTCGACTTACGACCGCAATAGAGCCCAAAATTTATGATGCTAAATGAAAAATTTGTTAAGTGAATTTTGCCCTATTTTGCAACTTCTCTTGCTACATTTGTTAACTGAAGTTGTTAAATTAGTAACACCGTTGTTAAGTGAATCTGGCTTCCCCATTGACTTTGCTTGTCAGAAGATTACAAAATGTGATCATTGATTCTGGGACACTGCAACTGTCATAAATACGAACCAGTTGTCAAGTATCCAAATGTAAATCACATGCCAATGGGATGCGGCAATGGTCATAAGTGTGAAAAATGGCTGTAAGTCACCTTTTCAGTGCCATTCTAACTTTGAACAGTCACTGAATGAACTGCTGTAAGTTGAGGACTACCTGTATAGCATTCTATTGACTCAAGAATGGATGGATAGTGCTATAACTCTGCAGTGGGAAAATGCCCTAGAGATTGCTGTTGTCTACCTATTGGTAATAGCTTAATGCATATTCAGAGATAAACTCTTCCAGTGTTTATCTGGAAGTAATTCTTCGTATCTTCTTAGCAACCTTTTATTCATACCAAAGAGTTCTAGTTTCTCCAAACATTCCCCATAAAACTTGTTTTTCATAATGCTGGCCACCTTTGTTGCCATCTCTGAATCTGATATCTTTGTCTTCATTCTTTCTGCAATTGCAAAAAAGTACTACTAATATTCTGTGCATGTGTCTAATAAAATTGTAGCACAAAAAGGTTATGTGTGGAGGCATAGGTAAGTACCTTTTATATATTAAAAAAAACAGTCTGGAAAGTTGTTTTCATTGCTTGTACAACTTTTAATTAGTCTTCAGAAAGGAGGAAAATCAGTTGAGAAATATCAGGGTTTTATCAAGTGATTAATTGTTTGATTGATTATCTGCCATCAAGTCGTTTTCGAGTCCTAGCAACCACATAGATAGATTTTCTACATGATTTATTAAGTAGAAATAATTAATTCAGACTTCATACTCTGTGGATTGGAGATAGGTCTGATTTCTTTTTTCTGGAGATCATTGGTTTCTACACTAACTATCGATTATCTTGACCAAGTTCTTCTCTTATTTCAAAGGAAATAGCAATTGCACTATTCTCACATATACTTTCAGGCTTATTATGAAAAATATTCAAACTGTGCAGGAATTTTTCTGCATCTCCACACCAGTGTCAAAGCCATTAAGTGAAGGAAGCCCTGAGAGGACTCCAGAAGCTCAGAAATGAATGATGAAATGATGGCTTCAATGTTGTTATGGCAACTGAAGAACCCAATGTCATCTTCTGCCATAAACAATGAATACTCATCTCTCACCTGCTACCATATTATGAAGGATGTCAATTGGATGAATTTAAATCACCCAGTCAAGTCATCATCCTGTTCCCTTTACTAAATTTTATAGACGATTCAGACATGATCCTCTAGCTGGAACTATCTCAGTTTTCCCACCATTTCCATTTGTTTCTTTCTAGATAGGAAAACAATTTTGCTATGGAAATAAATATGGAACATCTCACCAGTAAAACTGGGGTGGAGGGAAAGGAGGATGTTAGGAGCCATCTGTCTGGAAGCACCTCAACACACATAGCTCATCCTAGATATTTTAGAATTTGAAGACATTAAAATAATGTTTTCTGGCTTTGAAATGAAACACATTTAAAATAAAAAAAGCATAAAATGAGAGTGTGACAATAAGAACCTAGCATTCCCTGCTGGAAGTTAGTGCTCAAAGCAACTGTTTCATGCTGCTTTAGTAAAATGAGACTTTCAGCAAGGCAACATGCTGTCTTTCCAGTAGGAAGTCATTGTAAGAATAGACATCTTTTTGTTAAAAGCGTGGCTTTATTTGTTGTCCAAAGCTTTTTGTTTAGAGGACTGATTATTAATGAAAACCTGCAAAGTTTGCCCTTTTGACATTCTTAGGCAAAGCAAAAAATGGATCTTTATATATGCTGTTTTATTTCTATCCAGACAGAAGTCCCAGCTCCATATGATTTATCATATCAAACTGTAGATCATTGGGAGATTGACCGAAATTCTCTACAACTTTTAAACAGATTGGGTTCCGGGCAATTTGGTGAGGTCTGGGAAGGATTATGGAATAACAGAACACCAGTGGCAGTTAAAACATTAAAACCAGGTATGTTGAACCCTTCTGTAATTTTCTTAGACAATGTTGTGGTTTGCTGGCAGCAGGTGCGGACAGCTGAGGTCTCTAACAGTGAGGACTCAGATGAGGAGCCTGCATGTGATGCAGGGATGGGGCCAGGACTGTCGGAGAGTGCTGCCTTTGGAGCAGACTGTGGAGTCTGGAAGCAGTGATGAAGAGGACCTGAGGGAGCCTGTTCCCAGTGTACATGTGCATAGAGCTGCTAGAAGGCGAGAGCAGCTGAAGCAGCATGGGTGACTTGGGAGTAAGGCTGGAAGGTGATGGCCCCTCTCATAAGGGATAAAAGCCAGCCTTCGGGTTGGCTTCTTTGCAGGAAGCTAAAGAAGTTCTTTCTACTCAGAGTTCTCGTTGAAGCCCTTGTTTTTTTGAAACTTCTGGCTTTGGATATTTATCTGCAATTAGTCTTTTATTCTTTGCAGCCTTTTGCAACCTTGAAAGGGCTTTGCTCTTATCTGGGACAATTAGGTTTGCATGACTCTTGGCTGTGAATGCACAGAATTCACAGCACTGCATTAAAAAGGTTTGCTTTTATACATAATTTGTGTTTCTTTGATTTGAACAAGGCTTGGGTCAGAGCAGACAGTCACACAATTCTGATGTTGTCAACATCATAAGCATTTCTGCAACGAAACCCTTTAAACATCCAATTCAGTTTTAGTGTTGATGCTGCAAAGATAATTTTGCAATTTTAATTGTTGACCTATAGGTTGATCATTTTTTTCCCAATGATGAAGACTCAGACAGCATCCCAGCTGTACAGCTCCTTCCTCTCCCTGGTGAAATCAAAATGTTCTGGTGCTTTAGCACCATTCCAACAGGTTTTTGAACTAGAGAAGAAGTGCATATTGTGTTTTCTTTCTTCTTCTGCACAAACAACGTCAAGGCAAAGTTGGATGCTAATTTTTGTGCTACCCCATTAAGTGGTTGAAGAAAGCTCTGGTAGAAGCTCTGGTAGCTCTGATAACTGTGAGGATAGCAGGGCTGAAGCGAGCATGGCACACTTTCAAGTTTTAGAAGGTAAAAATTGATAACTGTGAAAGTTCCCTTAGGCTACTTTATATTTGCAAGTGGGTTTTCACTAAATTAATGTGTTCACTTCTCTAAAAATAAAAATAAACAGCAATAATTTAAAATTAAAGTTGGTATTATCTGGGGATGTTTTAATTATTCAGATTAAAGAAATATTGACTTTTCAAGGCTGTGAAGAGCTAGTTTTTTTCCCCACAGACATTGGGGTGAGAATACCAGCATGGGAGAACTGGCATAGATCTCTAATGGTTTCATGTTTCTAGTGAACTTTGATGCATTTTTAATTTTTAGTTTTTGCTTTTAATGAAATTCTCTTTATTTTATTTACTATCTAGAGTTCCTTGGATAAATAGCTGGCCATATAAATTAGATGAATGAATGAATAAATAAAACTTAGCTGTATTATGCAGCTGTTTTGTAGTACTGGCTGTTATAAGTATTCTCTTGTGCAGTTCACTTCATTTCCTTATCAAGGAGAAATGTGTAATATAAATGTTGCCAAGCAAAATTTTCAGTTTCTCTTAAGGTAGCAAGACATTTTATATTATACCCCTTTTTCCTAATAATCAGGATTCAGACCAAGGCATTTGACAGCATTGGACATAAAGCATAAAGCAGAAAAGTATACAGTTCTCTCCCCACACCCTTCAAGGCTCCCAAAGCTTTGACTTCTGAGGTATAAAAGTAAACAAAAATCAATTCCTTACAAGTAAGAAAATATAATATTAATATGCACTAATTACTAAACATAGGTTGCTTTGTTATGAACTTCTGACTCAGCAGCCTGAAATGACTGTGTGCAATTCACACATATGACTTACCATCATCAATCAAGGGCCAGGCCTGAGGTGCATGAGGAAGACTGATACCACTGAGGAGGGGCACATCCAGTGGTGGGATGCTGCCAGTTCGGACTGGTTCATGTGAACTGGTAGTTCCCCCTGCCCCGCCTTATCCTGTTCCTTATTTCCTGCTTTGTAGCTCATCTGAATTGCGTGGCACAGCTGATTCCCTCCCTCGCTGTTCTATGGTACTTACTGTTAAGTATTGCCTAATATGGTCACAGGAGTGGAGTCTGCTTTCAGACTCCACTCATTGGACTGACCATTGGAGGGAGAAATAAAGTCCTGTCAGTGGCTGAAACATTGGACAGGTCCGGCTATATAAGGCGACGCAACAGCTAAACGCTTTTTCTTCCAGCAACTAAATAAAAGTTCTTACCTGCTCCTGCCGTGTCCTGCCTCTTCACTCTGCGAGCCCACTTAACACTTACCATTGTTGACTTGGAGGGTAAGCAGCTGAGTTTCTAAATGTTCTATTTTCAGCACTGCGCGCAAGCACCTTAAGCACACTCACCGAACCAGTTGTTAAACTGGCAGCATCCCACCACTGGGCACAGCTCCTTATCTTCCCACAGAACTAACAGCAAAGAAAAGAAGGATTGCTTAAAATGAACTTTCCCATAACAGATTGGTAAAAGCAAACCCAGATTTATTTTACTGAAACACCAGTAGGGCCTTCGGTTCCTATTAAACTGGAATTAAGAAGAAAACCTGGAATTAAGGAGAAATTTCCTAATTGTCTTAAGTGAGGACAATTAACTAGTGGAACAACTTGCCTTCAAAAATCATGGGCGCTCCATCACTGAAGAAGAGACTAGACAGTCACTTATGTGAATTGGTATAGATTCTCCTGCTTGAGCAGAGGGCTGGACTAGAAAACCTCTAAGGTCCCTTCTAGCTTTATTATTCTATTCTATTCTATTCTATTCTATTCTATTCTATTCTATTCTATTCTATTCTATTCTATTCTATTCTATTCCATTCCATTCTATTCTATTCTATTCTATTCTATTCTATTCCTAAATTCTTTTGTAATGCCAAATGGAATTAGTGGCAATGGTGTTATTTTGAATCAAATAATGTTAGGACTGAAATATTGACCATGGGATTTTAGTGACAAATTCTTTTTGTCAAAATGGAAGGCAAAAAGAAAAAAAACCTTTAAAAAAATCAGATGGATGCTGAGAATTTTTAATCAAAACTTTCATAGCACTATACAGTGAATAGTGAGTTTGAATGTGAGAGTTATATTTGCTCAAGCAGTGGATATCATGAATAGGTTTCATTTTGAGTATTTTAAAAAAACCTTTTATACTAACCAACAAAATACTTGCTCTATTTGATAGGCATGGTTAAATAGTTATTGTAGGATAGAGAACTATTGTAACATAGGGAGCAATTGAACTATTTATTTAAAAAAGGACATAAGGATAATAATCTGTAGGATTCTTGAATGCTACACATTTGAAAAGTTTCACATGATAAAGCTATTTAGCCATTAGCTATTTAGCTATTTTCTCCATTTGCTTAAAAATTGATCTTTGATCTTTTCAATGTTATAAAAAAGGACAAATGATTAAACTGCAGCTTTTACACTAGAAAGGCCTTCAATTAATCTCTCTCTCTCTCTCTCTCTCTCTCTCTCTCTCTCTCTCACACACACACACACACACACACACACACACACACACAATGCCAAATTAAACTGGCACCAATCTTCATAGAAATGAAGAGGTCCCATGAAGCATTTGCGAGATCTTTGATATTAATCATATCAGCACTGGAGTAATTTTTTTTGAAAACCATGCCAACTGCATTTGTAAGTCTACTAACTCATTATATGTTTTAACCATTTTACATTTTAATGCACTCCAATACTAGGTTTGACCTTGACTTTTCTTATTGCTGATGTATTTTCTTGATGCCCTTTAAAAGGAAGGGAGGAAAAGTAGAAGGTATTTGGCAATGAGATTTTAGTCACTATTTGGTAAGAATGCCTGATAGATATGACCATATTGTGCCAAGCATAACTTTAAAATTTAAATACAATATCTCTAAGCACAGGGGTATAAGGAGTCAATTTAAAAACCTCCATATAATATTTGCTCATGCAATAATATTTTAAGAGGACAAGGGAAATTGCACACGTCTGTGAAGCTTAGTTTGGCTCTAATGCAGAAGAAGATTAAAAGCAGCCCTCTAGTTTTGCTGAACCCAAATTCCTTCTGTTCTTGCCAGCAAGGCCAATGGTGAGGAATGCTGGGATTTGAAGTTCAACAATGCCACAAAGTCATACATTAGTGTGTAAGCAACAGCCAAAAAAGCCAATGCCATCCTAAGTTGCATTAACAGAGGGATACAGTCAAGATCAAGTGAGGTACACCACTTTATAAATCCTTAGTAAGACCACACCTACAGGTGAAACTCAAAAAATTAGAATATCGTGCAAAACTTCATTTATTTCAGTAATGCAACTTAAAAGGTGAAACTAATATATGAGATAGATGCATTACATGCAAAGCAAGATAGTTCAAGTGGTGATTTGTTATAATAGAGATGATTATGGCTTACAGCTCATGAAAACCTCAAATCCACAATCTCAGAAAACCAAAATATTACATGCAATCAATAAAACAAGGATTGTACATAGAACAATATGGGACCCCTGAAAAGTATAAGCATGCATATGTATTCAGTACTTGGTTTGGGCCCCTTTTGCAGCAATTACTGCCTCAATGCAGTGTGGCATGGAAGCTATCAGCCTGTGTCACTGCTGAGGTGTTATGGAAGACCAGGATGCTTCAATAGCAGCCTTCAGCTCTTCTGCATTGTTCGGTCTGATGTCTCTCATCTTTCTATTGGCAATGCCCCATAGATTCTCTATGGGATTCAGGTCAGGCGAGTTTGCTGGCCAATCAAGCAAAGTAATCCCATGGTCATTGAACCAGGTTTTGGTGCTTTTGGCAGTGTGGGCAGGTGTCAAGTCCTGCTGGAAAATGACGTCAGCATCCCCATAAAGCTCGTCTGCAGAAGGAAACATGAAGTGCTCCAAAATCTCCTGGTAGATGGCTGTGTTGACCTAAACATTCTATTTATATATTTATTTATCATTTTTATTCAAACTGAAACTCTCTTTTGTAGCCCCAGAAGTGATAGAACTTAGCCAGATAGAATATAAAAATCCAAGATATATAGATGCTCCAGATATGAAAATAGTGCTAAATAGATTTATTGAAGAAAAAGAAATACTAAAGGTGTATTATTTTCAAAAAATGCACATATTTGGAATATGTATATATCAGAAAACAATTCATGAAAATACAAACAAATCTGCAAGTGGATTGTTACTATTTTGGGGCAAGTTTGCAATTGAGTCATAAAGAATTCCAAATGAATAAAATAAGAATTTGAGCAAATTGAAACGGATAGTTTCATCTATTAATGATACTTCTGGCTTCATGGATTCACCTTTAGACTGTGATAGTAATGCAAGAGAATGGAGCTATTCACATTTCTTTCCAACCCAAGAACCTCCACAACAATAACAACAACAAAGGAATTTCATTCTCACTTAAATGAACTATATTGACAACACACAGGTAGAAAAAAAATTCAATGCAACACTAATCTAGTCTACCTGACTAAATTGTCATGAAATCTGATTTTTCCCTGGCATGGATTTACTGCATGAGAGGGCAGCAGAAGACTGTGTTTCATTCCTCGATACCAAACTTACAGTACTTATTTATTATAACATGTAACACACAATGATTCCAAAATATAATGAGTTATAACAATATATCTTGAAGATGGTGAGGAAATCTTTGTTATGGATTAAATCTGTGGCTAGAGGTTGAATTTGGATAGCTAAAATGTTGAAAATTACCCCACATTTTCTGATCACACTTCCATTTTGAGGATTCAGATGAATAGTGCCACCAACAATACTGCTGTGATTTCATCTTCGGTAATAACCAATATTTATATTTATTATAGCATTTATGTGGGGATGGAGGAAAGTTGGAGACCAAAACTACAATGGCTATTATTGCAGAATTTTTTTTTTTAGAATTCATTTTTAGGGCAAAAAGTAACATGTTCTCCTTTGCTATTTCAATTTCATAAAATTCCATATCTGAATTATGTAGTGGGGGGGGATTTGCATTGTTATCTATGCTGATTAGCAAAGAGGCAGACAATATCCCTGGTTATTTCCACAAGACTGTGGGGCAAACCAGAATAGCCCTTAATAACACACACTAATTTTCTTTTGCCGCTGTTCTCATTTCAGGTTCAATGGATCCAAAAGACTTCCTCAGGGAGGCACAGATAATGAAGAATTTGAGACACCCTAAGCTTATACAGCTCTATGCTGTTTGCACTTTACAGGATCCAATTTATATTGTTACAGAGCTGATGAGACATGGGAGTCTGCTAGAATATCTCCAAAGTGAGTAGGAAACATTTCATTTAGATAGAGTGTGGCAATCTGCAGTAAAGCAAACACATTGGTATTAAAAAAAAGGGAGGGGGGAGACGATGGAGAGATGAGCAGATCAATTTAGTGTGATTGGATATGAAGCCAGTAATGACTGGCAGGGATTGACATGGTGTGTTTGTCCCAAACTACTTACACTTTGAATGGCATGCCAGGGATATATACTAAGAAATGATGGGGCAGACAAAAGCCAGAGTAGATTTAATCTTAACAAAGTGAAATAAAATAGTCAGTACAGTTGTTCCTTCTGCCCCTTCAGTCTCATTTAGCATTCTAATTTAATGGGAATTTTGGAATGGTGTGGCAAAGTCCCTCTCAAAGCTTTGAGGAAGGTAAGTAAACCCTCTATTGGAGCCTTCATAGCTACTGAGAGACAGCACAAATTGCTCTCCCAACCAAACAAAAGTAGAAGGTCATTGTTATTTATAGAATAGAATAGAATACCTTTATTGTCATTGCATTCCATGAATATAATGAAATTTGAAAGCTACTCCACCACAGTGCCCAAATACCACATCATAATCACACTATAGAGTTTTTAAAAATTAAAATAATTATAATAATAGGACTAAATCACAAATGCACTGTTTGACTGAAGACAATTACTGCCTTGGAAAAGAAACTGTTTCACAATCTATTAGTCCTCATTTTAAGACACCTATAACACCTCCCTGATGGTAACAGTTCGAAATATGAATGTCCAGGATGAGAATGGTCTGTGGAGATTTTTAGTGTTCTAGAGAGGAGTCTGGTCTTTGCAATCTCTTCCAAAGAAGAAAGAGAACAACTGATGATTTTTTGTGCTGTGTTTATAACTCTCTGGAGCATTTTCTTATCTACTGCAGAGCATACTACACCATTACACAGTATGCCAAAATGCTCTCGATGGTAGAACGGTAAAATGTAACCAGCAACTTCTCATCCAGACAACTATTTTTCAGTAACCTCAGAAAGTGCAGGCGCTGTTGGGCCTTCTTTGCAGTGGCCATAGTGTGGATCGACCAAGTGAGGTTGTTGGAAATATGAGTTCCTAGAAATTTAAAACTATGAACTCTTTCCACACAGTCTCCATTGATATATAGTGGGAGAGGCTCTGCTTTGCATCTTCTGAAGTCTATAATCAATTCTTTGGTCTTTTTGATGTTCAGGGTGAGGTTATGACTCTTGCACCACAAGACCAGTCTGATAACCTCTGAGCTATAGGCCGTCTCATCTCCTCCTGATATGAGTTCCACCAATGTGGTGTCATCTTCAAATTTTATCATAGGGTTAGTGGGACAAGAGGGAGTGCAGTCATAGTTGTAGAGTGAATACAAAAGGGGGCTCAGCACTTAGTCCTGTGGAGAGCCAGTGCTGAGAGAAAGAGTGGAGGAAAAATAGCTGCCAATCCTAACTGTTTGGGGTCTGTTAGTAAGAAAGTCCTTTATCCAACAGCAGATTCTACATAGTATAAACTCTTTCTTTGTCTATACATGTCCCAGGGACATTCCCATACAATCTGAAGAAGATACCTTTCTTTTTCTTTCTAATATACGGATGTGCTGTCACAGAAAGCCTGAAAAATGCTATGTAAACTTAAATATATATATGGGAAAGGATTTCTAGAAAAAGGATGCAACTTTGCATGTTATTTTTATGCAGATGCATGTCTGTTTGTCTCCATATCTGATAACAAATCAAAATTGATTAGGCAGATCAAACTAGAGCCTTCCCTCCCAACAGTCTGAGGGACCACGAATTGGCCCCCTGTTTAAAAAGTTTGAGGAGCCCTGCTGTGTATTATATTAGAAGTTTATTAAAGGGTAGACCATCCTCACAGCAATCTTTACTTTGGATCAGTGTATGAATCTGGTTGCTTCAAAGTTATCCAGAAAACTGCATGACTGGAAAGAGGCCCCGATTCAGGCTTTTCTGATCCATATTGTGTTCTTGGACTCTTCCTCACCTGATTTAACATTTCAGAATGAGATACATTTCATAGATATATCTCATGAGACAGGTAAATAGACAGACAGACAGACAGGTAGTTGGATGATAGATGGACAGTTATTTGTGTCTTTGACTCAGTGTTGACTTCTGGCAACTGTCTTCTTCGCAAGATACTAAAAGTTGCTTTCCCTTTTCTTCTTCCTAAGGCTGAGAGAAAGTAACTGGCCCAAGGACATCCAGAGGGCTTTGTTCCTAGGCAGTACTAAAACTCACAGTCTCCTAATTTCCAGTCTGGTGTCTTAACCATTATACTAAACTGGCTTTCTCCCCAGGAGAAGTACTAAACATAAACAAGTGCACACACACACACACACACACACCCCACCACCACCACCTCTCTGAGGTTTGAAGCCTGTGTGTGTGTGTGTGTGTGTGTGCGTGTGTGTGTGCGTGTGCGCGCGCTTTTTGGATTGTTTGTACTCTATTTTTCACCCTAGCCTGGCTGTAGATAGGCAATGTTTACAAAACAGCCGTGATGAGTCTCAAGCTTCTCATTTCCTCCTTGCCAGCTCTAGCCTTTACATCATCTATTAAAAGAAGTATAGTGGGACTTTACAAATACAATACAAAGAGAACATGTTAAATCCATGGGGATCTACACCATAAAAAATTGGAGGGTGGGGGGTGGGAGAAAGTGGATGCTAATAGATAGAAATACAACTTTCAATAGCAGGGAAAATTCAGTCCCACTTTGACTTGCAATACTAACAGTGGGATAGTTTGCACAATGTTCATCAGTTACTTAACCCCAATGTATTACTTTACCCCAACATATTTCCTAACTGCATAGGACTGTTGTAAGATCCTCTTAGTAGTTAATCTTCAGTTCTGTTATACTGTAACTTGACTATAACATCTGATTCTTAAAACCACAAATCCTCGTCCACCTTCCTTCTCACCTCCCAAGCTGTAGTATTAACATGATGGCTGCATCTGGTTATTCAGAGAATTGGGTGAAGCTGAAGCAAGTGCTGCAGTGCTTTCACTAAAGAGAATTAATGAAAGAAACAAATTCTAGTGCAGCAGAAAAAAGGGTCAGGGGAAAAAGCAAGTACCCATATCTCAAGGAACAGTAGCAGTTGGTGATTACAATGCCTTCTTTCTGCTACTTAGCCTTTGATATCTGCTGAAACACTTATAGTGCTTATCACTCATGTCTATTCTTGTCTCCCAGCTGTTCTACTTTCCCTCAGCAGTTAAAGAACAAAACATCATAAAGAACAACCATCCTGTTGCTGCTTTAGTCTGGCTAGGTGAAAAAGGAAAATCTGCAGTAAACCCTCAGCAACAGCCTTTAGATAAAAACATTGCCGTTTTGTGGGATCTAGGAAGTGTGCTTTTTCCATGGCAGACCCAGCCCTATGAAAAGGCCCACCCTTCTAAGCCTTTTGAAAGCCTTTCAGACCTAGATGTCTGTGGAGATTCTCAGTTATCCAGGTCATTGTTTGGCCCAAAGGTGCTTTTCCAAAAGGAAACTAGACTTTGTTTTTCCTTGAAGACATTTTGCTTCTTATCCAAGAAACTAGTTCAGTTCAGTTCAATTCTGAAGAAGCTTCTTGGTTCAGGGAGTGAAACATCTTCAAGGAAAAAGCAAAATCCAGTTGCTTTTTGAAGAAGCACTTTGGGACCTTAAGACCTGACTTTTCCACCAAGCGTTGGGATAAGGTGAGGTGGATTTGAAGATTTAACAAGGGACTGCATGTGGAACCTTAACTCTGCTGCCAGTTTTTAATATTTATGGTTTTCCTAGATATATGAATTATTTTGTTTTATTAGTGTTTTAATTGTTGATTGGGAACTGCCTAGAGTTGGAGATAGGAGGGACAGTGTTTTAAATAAAATAAATAAATACAAACCTCCAATAATTTTATTGGAAAAATTTGGAGAATTGGACCCAGCTCTATTACATAATTAGAGTCCAGTCACTTCCCTTTTCCTTTCTAGAGAAGATTGTTGAGAAAGTGGCAACAGAGCTACAAAGGGTAAGTTCCTGCTGCAGCAGCTGTGCATAATTATGGCAGGTGTGCCAATTGTCTACCATTCAAGAGCATAACATCCTGGTAATTGTCACTCTTACCCTCATCTCTGCACTGAAGAGACAATTAATCTGTAATGCAGAATGCTATGGTCAGCATGCTGACTGGCACCATTCAATATGGCCATATACAGCAAGAGCAGAATTGGGCTGCCAGTTGATTTCCACTTACAAGTCATGTCCTACATACAGGTAGCTTGGGGCCTGGCTATCTTCAAGGCTGCTTATTCCAAGTAGAATTTTTCTGTACAAGGCCTACCTGTAGAGAGTGCTTGTTGTAAGTCATGCTGAGAAGATTATTTTTCCCAACCTTCCCCAAATATTCCTTCCTTGTAGATGATGCAGGTTCCAGAATCCACTTGCCAGAACAGGTAGACATGGCAGCTCAAGTGGCCTCTGGAATGGCTTACCTGGAATCCCAAAATTTCATCCACCGAGATTTGGCAGCAAGGAATGTCCTGGTTGGTGATCACAATGTTTACAAAGTGGCAGATTTTGGACTTGCACGGGTTTTTAAGGTATACTTTTAAATTGATGTCTCGGATATTTGGATACTTTAGCTATTTTAGACACAAAAGCCGATATATATACTATAAACAAATATTTTATATATATAAAGAACCATGGTGGCTCAGTGGTTAGAATGCAGTATTGTAGGATAATTCTTCTGATTGTCAGCAGTTCAATTCTCACCAGTTCAAGATTGACTCAGCCTTCCATCCTTCTGAGGTCGGTAAAATGAGGACCTAATTGTTGGGGGCAATATGCTGACTTTGTAAATTGCTTAGAGTGGACTGTAAGGCACTGTGAAGCAGTTCTATAAGTCTAAGTACTATTGCTATAATTTAAGAATTCATGCCCTAGATCAGACTCTTCTCGCTTCTAAAAATTATGAAGAACGCCAAAGTAGCTTTCCTTTCAAGGATTATATTTATATTTTTATATTTATGATTATATTTATCAATAGTCACCATATTAAAAATTGAAATTGATCCATTTATAGAATCATGTAAAAATAAGGTTAAACCCATTAGAGGTTAACATAAATAATTTTTCTCCTGAAAATTTTTTTTTAAAGAAAGAAAAGATAGTAACAAGAAGAGAGACTTTGTTTTAACTTTTGGCAAATATGTTCAATATCTGGCAAATAATTTTGATTTCAGTGACACTTGAGAAAGCCTTATAAGAACGCCCCCCCTATTGTCCTCAGATACAGTTAAAGAAACACCACCCTAAACAATACAGCATCTGCAAATGTAGTATTTAAGAATGGAATTGCTCTACACAGAGGCAGCATCTTTATAGGGTGTCTAATTTGGGGAACAAAGAACCATAGCCATTGTGGTGGAGTTTCCAGCATAAAAACCAGCTGCTTGGCTGTAGCGAGAGACAAAGGCTATGTTTGGAAGTCACAGTGAGACACAATTCTAATTTACCATGAAATGTGGTGTTTTACCTTTCTCAGTTTCTCTTAGCTGGATTTTCCTGACAGCAGCAGTGGCTAAATAAAAATTCCTTCTGTGATTTGTTTAGTGTGCACTTTTAGAACACTGACTGCTCATTCCTTGATCGGCTGCACCTCCCGCTGATGTGCTGACTTGTCAAAGGGTTGTGAGTTGATTTCCGTAGACTGGCTTTTTGCTTCAGGCTTTTTGGGTTTAGGTGCTGTCTGGAACCAGCAAATCAAGACAATGTACTATAGAAAACCTGTAGGTGGATTACTGTAGTTTCAAGTGGCAGCATTGGCAGCATTTAAGATGTGATCTGAGTGATACCTTTCAGAGATAAAGCTATAGATTACAGGAACTGGGCTTGGTTAGTCTAGTGAAGAGAAGGACCAGGGGAGACATAATAGCACTGTTCCAATATTTGAGGGGCTGCCATAGAGAGGAAGGGGTCAAGCTATTTTCCAGGGCACCCAAAGGCCAGACAAGGAATAATGGATGGAAACTGAACAAGGAGAGATTCAACCTCCCACAACTTTTCTGACAGTGAGAACAATCAACCAATGGAACAGCTTGCCTTTAGAAGTTGTGGGAGCTTCACCCCTGGAAGCTTTCAAGAAGAGGCTGGACTGCCATTTGTCAGAAATGGTTAGGGTCTCCTGCTTGGGCAGCGGGTTGGACTAGATGACCTACAAGGTCCCTTCCAACTCTGTTAATCTGTTAAGATATTCAGACAAAATAATGTTTATATTTGTCTAGGCTATCTTGAACCCCATAAGATAGAATCACTATTGGGCCTATTTAACTTTTTGGTCTTATTTTGATTACGAAGAATCAGCAACTTTTAACAGTAGCATTAAATTAAAAGTGATTTTCTCTATATATTATACTTGGAAGAGCTGGTTCCAATTATGCTTACTCTATTGGGGGGGCGGGGGGGGAGGAATCAAAGTTTTGATCATGGAAAACAAATCACAGAAGGAGTTTTCCCCAGGAATAAAAATTGATTCAGCTTGATCTTTCAAATTGATTCATTTTTAAGTGAAAGGAATCTGCATTCTCAATTGGATGCATTCATACTTTTAAACTGATTCAGATAAGAATAGGCTTGCTTCTTTTTTGAGTTAAAATTTGGAGGTGTCTGATTTGGTTTGACTCATCAGATTGATCTGATGATTTCATTATAATATTGGATTCAGAGGAATGGTTCTATCAAACTGCCTTTGCATTAAAATTTTAGGTGAAATATTTGCACTGCACTTGTTTCTGTGAATTGTTTATCTACCCTAGAGGGAAGAGAGACCAAATCAGGGATGACTAATTTGGCTTAACATGATGTACAAATGCAGTCATAATTTTAGAATTATGTAGTAATATAGAGATCTTCATGGTGATCTGTATTGCCTGATAAGAAAAAAAAAGAATATATAGCATTACCATTTCTGAAACTCAGAATAATATGCATTTGAGAAAGGAAGCAGCCTGATCTCAGAAAAAAAAAATCTAATGTATAAGTAAATAATGTTCCATTCATTCTTCAGAGTGTCAGTTTACTTCACCTAAATTAATTGATGCCACTGTGAACAAATATATTAATTTGTACTTCTTGGAGTCTGCTTTTTAAATCCTGGAATTGTTTAAGTGATGATGATCAAAGTCAGTGTTTTCTTGGTACCTGTAATTAATCACAGAACAAAGGTTTTGAATGCATTAGTTCTTGCTGTCACCTTGTCGTCTTGCTAAAGGCTTCACATGAGTCCTGTGCCCTGCCAACAAGTAGCTTGCACTGCTGTCAGTGATAGATTTCAGGACTCACAGTAGTAAGCCCCAATTAATCATGGCCAAATTGATGTTGCATGGATGCTTGACAAAACAAGGGCTAGGAATTAAGGAACAAAAGTCCTACCTGGCTGGTTCAGGTTGTCAGGGGATATCAGCTAACAATCAACAAACAGTTTTTCAATGTAATGGTTATTGGGATTATGCAAATGTTAGAAAATGAGGAAAAAAAAGGTTTTAAGTTGATTTGAATGTTGCAATAGTGGAAATGGATAGATCTGGAGACTTATCACGTTGTTTCTTGTTTGCATAAAATAGGTAGAAAATGAAAATGTCTATGAAGCCAAACATGAAACAAAGCTCCCAGTGAAATGGACAGCCCCTGAAGCAATTCGCTCTAATAGGTTTAGCATTAAGTCTGATGTCTGGTCTTTTGGAATACTCCTTTTTGAAATAATCACTTATGGAAAAATGCCCTATGCAGGTGAGTGCTTTGTTTGAAAATAATGCTTTCAACTTTTTTTTAATGAGTCTTCCTTACTTTTCTTCAGCTGATGGGCAAGCTTAATAAAACTTTAGTTTTCTGTATAGAATAAAAACTCTTGGATAATCCGTGTAGCAATTGTAAATGTTGTACTATCTATTAAACTAAATAGCACCACACTACTCTCAAACAATCAAAGTCTTGCTAGATTTATTTTTACATCTGCTGCCTCTTCCAAAGTTTCTAAGCAGCTTATATCAATAACATAATAAAACCACAAATCTGTAAAAAGATCTTCAGCTAAATTAGCTTATTATTACCCCAAACTGCTGCTATCATTTATATGACAGCCTCTGCCAAATTTTCTGAGAAAAACCATGTTTTATACCTTTGCTGAAAGATAAATAATAGGTAAGAGTCTGGCCTGAACTAGAGGTATGAGCTATTAAAGAGCTTGGAGCTGCAATTAGTCTTTGTGTTCTCCTTGATACCTGAAACAAGAGAGATGTGGTCTAAACCAGCATATTTGGGCAGATTTTACTGGAGCATGTGGATTAGCAACTTGCACCTAGAATTGGGCCTGTAAACCTAAGAGGACCAATGTAGCTTCTACAATTTAGAAGCTACACGGTATCAGCTTTCATCTGTCAGCAAATTAGCACCTGCTTCCTGCACCACTTTGTCAAATTCCACGTAGCCAGAAAGGAAAGACTACAAAAGAACAACACATATTTCAGGAAGGTATCTTAACACTAGCCTGGGGTGAATGAAGAATCTTGAAAAATCTAAATCTAATATTCCCCAGCAACAGTTATAATGAGGTAGCTGAAGTAGAGTTTCTTTGAAGCATTTTTCCCCAAGATCTTTTGCAGTCTGGACTAAATGGCCTTTTCTGAGATTCAACCTCCATTGCACAAAGAATTCTTACTGCAGTCAGCATATACAACCACAAAGTTCTATTCCCCACCCCCCAGTTCCTTGTCCAGTAATCCTAAAAGTTTCAATTTTTAATTTTCTGTTCATTTTAAGAATTTTCCACATTGTAACATGGATCATTCTGGCCCCAATATTTCTTTGCTTTATCACAAGCCCAAAGATGACAAAACGTACCTTTTTCAGAATTACATTTCCAACATATATTTCAATGACTTTATATATCTTTGAGAACTGATCAGGTTTTAGTTATCAGTGATAAAATCATTTTCATCTTAACTTGGAGTTAATTTCTTGATCTGATTTATATCTTGACACTGACTAATGCATGTTTGCTGGCATCAGATTCTGCTGAGAATTACAGAATAAGGAGGGCCATCTTTAATAACAATCGATGTTGTTTCTGTCCCTTATCCATGGAAAAATTCACTGGCCTTATTGCTATGATGTAGGTTCAAAACTTGCCTGAAACATAACAATATTCACTCCTTGTTTTGCACAGTGTTACGCCAATCATCGGTTGTAGCATTTCTTCTACAAAGAAGAGCCTTTGATTGACACCTGGGGTGGGCAGCTCAAGAGCTATAAATGCCTGTGTTGCCCCTGAACCCCAAAGATTATGCACCCAACAAATCTGCTGACTGAATTGCTGGAAATTTCCCCTGCTGAAAACAATAGGATCCATAAAATGTCTAGGAGATACCATCTAAATAGGTCCACTGAGATGAGCCAGGTTTTACAGAATACCTATTTCCTCATTTGAGATCTGGAATCTGATATATTTTATATTTACTATATTTAAGTTTTTTGAGGTTGTTAATCAGCAAAATACCTTATAGCTATATAAACAAACAAACACAATTTTCATTATGGAATCCCCTCACTATTGTGCACAATTGTTCAGTCATCCCACTACCTAAAATGAGTCACATTCCCAATCTTGCCATATGTCTTCTGCTGTGGTTGTTAATAATTCTAAGTCAAGTTTTAGTTATTGTTTGTGGATTAAGCCAGAATCCCCTGGTTCATACATAATTCTAAGCCCCAGGGGCTATATTCATATATTGCAAGAACCATAAGCATTTGCAGGGGAAGGGGAAGAAGGGGGTCAAGTGAAAAAAAGAAAGAAAACATTTAGATATTGCAATATCAATCCCCTGGCTTATGTACTTGTGTCTGATACCAGAACAGAAATATAAATGACTACATTGTGACATCCAATGCACAATTTTATCTCATTGGTTTATGAAAGATAGCAATAGCACTTAGGCTTATATACTGTTTCACAGTGCTTTACAGCCCTCTCTAAGTGGTTTACAGAGTTAGCATATTGCCTCCAACAATCTGGGTCCTCATTTTACCATCCTTGGAAGGATGGAAGGCTGAGTCAACCTTGAGCCGGTGAGACTTGAACTGGCAAACTGCAGATAGCCGGCAGGCAGCAGAAGTAGCCTGCAGTACTGCATTCTAACCACTGTGCCACCACGCTATTGCCTATTATATCAAGCGCCCCATCCCCCAAGTGAAAGGAAAGGATTAGTGTCATGCTCTGTCTGAGCCCAGACAATATTTGGTTAACAGAAGCAATGCTGGTTCTACCATTAGACAAACTGATCACTTCAGAAGCTTCTGGATAATTTTCTTGGCACCCTGACAATAAACAGGGAGAGATTTCTGTCATTTCAGCAAAGACAACAATATTTCTTGAGTCTGTTATATGATCCTGTTGGGAAGCCCAAAACTCTCAATGTGAACTTTTCCATGTTTTTAGCCATTTGCCAAACAAAACATTAAATTTAAATGGGTAGAATTATTTCTTGTATTAAATTTGCAGAGATGCTGGAAAGCATGAAGCCTTGTGCAAAAGAATGTATCCTTGAGAATGCATCATCTTCCCAATATATTTCAAGTTAGCATGTTTATTATGTATAATTGCTAAACTTTTAAAACTACATCATAGGTCTGATGGGTTTTCAAGTGCTCCAGAAATTGGACCAAGGATACAGAATGCCTCAACCAGCTAATTGTCCTCTAGAATTATACAACATTATGCTACAGTGTTGGAACGTCGAACCCAAAGAGCGACCAACCTTTGAAACGTTGCATTGGAGATTGGAAGATTATTATGACATGGATTCCACATCTTATGCAGATGCAAATACTTTTATACGTTGAATGAATACATGTTGCTACTGCTCAAGAACAACTTTCTTTTAGGAATAAAAAAAAAATCATTTCAAGTCGAAGTTGTAGAATGAAGATAAATCTACCTGTGTGTGTGTGTCTGTGTGTGTGTCTGTGTGTGTGTGTACAGATACATATATGCACACACATACAAACACACATACAAACACATACACACATAGGGGCCTACTCTGGGCAATGGGACTGGAAGAAAGAAAGCCTTTTCTGTAAGAATAATGCATTTGTTAGGTTATTACATGCTACATCAAACAAAAGCTGCTATTTTCACCAAAGTAACTGTGAGATCAGTCTAAGCTCAGAGTAGATAAATGGTGAGCTTAAAATAGTGGCGAGTGCCAAGCAATGTGTGTTTATTAAAATCTGTGGCATTATGCCACAGTCTTGATGGCAGTCATTTGTACTGTAAGATTAAGAAAACTGAAATAGGCAGGATCTCTCCCCGCCCGCCTCTCTGTTGTACAATGAAGTTATTCTTCTATTTATTATTTAAACAAGATGTAGTAAAGAGCACAAATCATAAACAGCTGCCTCACAAAATACATTTTAACACTACTTTTAATACTTCAGGATGATTATGTGTTATTCTCCAGATTCCACAAATAATCTGTTAAATTGATTTGTTTTTATGAAAGCATGTGATTGTGCTTATGGATAACAGATCCATAAACTTCGTCTCCTGTACTTTTTCCCTTTTCTATACATATTCTACAGCTAGAATTCTGGCCACACTGAATTAGAAATTGGGATTGCACCCATGCAATGGGTATATATTTACTTTAGAAAAAAAAAAAAAGAGAGAGAGAGAGAGAGAGAGAGTATACTTTGGGGAAACACAACCTGTATGGGTGGAGGGATGGAAACTGAACAAGGAGAGATTTAACCCGGAAATAAGGAGAAACTTTCTGACAGTGAGAACAATCAACCAATGGAACAGCTTGCCCTCGGAAGTTGTGGGAGCGCCATCACTTGAGACTTTCAAGAAGAGATTGGACTGCCATTTGTCAGAAATGGTGTAGGGTCTCCTGCTTGGGTGGGGGGTTGGACTAGATGACTTACAAGGTCCCTTCCAACTCTGATTATCTGTTATCTGTTAACCTGCACAAATAATGGGCTTCTTCAAACGGTATCTGTTTTGCAGTCAAGTGATGAGCTTCAGTTCATAAATATAGCCTTTGTAATTTTATAACAATCAAATATTACACGGTTAGATATGAGAACCAGACTGAGCCCACTGCAAGAGAGTGCCAGTCTCTCCTTCTTTTAACAGGCTCTGAATAGGGACAAGCTTTTTCCAAACAGTGATTTCAAATAATCCTGTCAAGCAATTTTCTGGTGTAGATGGATTTCTGTTTTTATTTGTCTGATCATGGACCACAATACTGATTGCATTGAGGCCACTCATCCTCTTTATGAAATACCTACTTGAAATTGCTAGATTGTACTTCTAGGAATATAGAAAGAATCTAATGTAAAATGTTGGCATGTTAAATAAAACTCCAGACAGAGTTACTATTTGGTTAGATGACTAGCTTATTCTTTTTCTCCATTGTGCATTCTTTTAGTTTGTTTTATTGAGAACCACAATGCCAGCTATTTTTGGCAAATCATTTTCTATAGATGGTCACTCCAAAGAGACTATGAAACTACTTTTTGGATACTAAAAAAGAAAGTATATTATACTGTACATAGCACACAGTGAGATAATGTTTAACTTCTGCAGATATTATCAATGATCAGACTTGCATTTTGAAAGCATCTCCCTTTGATATGGTTAAAAAAAATCACTTGCAGTAAAAATAAAATATAGGCTGAAATCTTTGTCTCAAATTAGTTACATTTATTTCTGCAATAACTTTATACCAAATGATTCTTTTATGATGCACAAATCTCTTTTAAGTGTCATATCATTCAATGAACTTGATTTCTGAAGCCAAGGTTCTACATTTCAAGTTTTTTACTAGGGTCACTGGAAAAAATAACACCAGTCAGTTATCTGGAGAGGGACAAGATTACTCAGTTCTCCTGCTTGGGTGGAGGAGGGGGGTTGGACTAGGTGACCTACAAGGTCCCTTCCAACTCTGTTAATCTGTAATCTGTATCTGTAGTGCAGAGAAGGTGGCATAACACCAGTGAAGCCTTATTGATATATAAATAATGTAATTGGTTTGCTTTGTTTCTTTTCTGCTAGGAAAGGTGCCACTATCTGCTACTGCATATTCAGTTTTACTCCATTCTTAGAGAAAAAAAAAGATTTTGTCATCCATTCTCAATATTGTATCAAAGAGATGTATTTATTTGGCAGTGAGGAATTGCTTATAAAAATGCTTATAAAATTGCTTATAAAAATGTAGCCTTACTCACCTAAATTGTTGAATGCACTTGAATAAACAAAATGCTTTGTTTCTATCCTTGATGGGCTAGCTAGAACATATGTAAATGAAAAGATGTAAGCACCATTAACCAATACAATTGTGTAATGGATGGTAAATGAATGATGCAGGAGAGGTAGAGGGATTCCAATAATAATCTAAAAATGAGTTGACATTTCTAAAAAAATAACAACAAAATGAGGCTTTTATTATATTTTTTCCCGTTGGAGAAAAAAGCTTTCCAGAATTTTTTTTTCCAAGTATTTTCTCTCAGTTTTGTATTTCCCATACAAATGGTCCTGGAATGAAGCTAAATCTCTAGTATTAAATGAATTTGAATGGCCCAGCTGCCAACAAAATAACTTGGCTCTTTGACCATTCTAAGCTATGGTTATTTAACCTTGGTTGATTGAAAAGCCACAGAGATTTAGTTCATACAACATGCTAAAGCATAACTGAACACCACACATTATGATTTAATCCTAATGAGGTATATGAACCCAACTGTTGCAGTTGCTCTCTACAAAACTAAAACCTAACAAATCTTAAAAAGAAAAGAAATTATGTCACTATGCTGCTGTTAACTGCTGTTGGGAATTTATGCTCCTTCTGAAAAAAAAAAAGCAAGATAACGGTCCTCCAAATTTTTCTTCATATAGATCAGGTGGAATGGAGATCTGCATGTGTTTTTCATATAGCTAATTCTCTAATGTACTTGGTTCTATTGGTGTAGTTTTCTTTTTCTTTGAGATTTGCAAGGAGAAAGAAGGATGTATAAGAGCAATTCCCTTCATCATTTGCTCAGTTAATGTATATTTCAACCCTACTCCTAGATTGGTTGATGGATTTGGTTCCATCAAAAATTCCACATTGTTATCTTATACCTGTAATGGCAAATTACATTTGTCTAATTTATGCACCCAAGATTGGGTACAAGGCAGTAGTGGAATTCAATTTTTTTTACTACTGGTTCTGTGGGCGGGACTAACTTGGTGGGTGTGGCTTAGTGGTCATGGTGACTGGGTGGGCATGGCTTGGTGGTCATGTGACTGGATGGGCGTGGCCAACTCAATGTCACTCACATCAAGGGGTACCTCACCTGGTCCCTCCCAGCCATTCCTTGTCAACCAACTTATCTATAGTTCTGTAAAAATGTTGTTCACCTTTTTTGACTTTATTATCTGCATACTATAGATGTACTTTCATGGACCACGGAAAGGAGGAAATGGCTCACATGCTTTACTCAAGAGTGTGATAGGCAACAGGCTTTTAAGGGGCTGCCACAAAGAAAGGCGGGGGGTGTATTTTCCAAAGCACCAGGAGGCAAACAAGAAGCAATGGATGGAAACTGAACAAAGAGAAGCTACCTAAAACTGAGGAGAAACTTTCTGGCAGTGAGAACAATTAACTGGTGGACCTGCTTGTACCCAGAAGTTCTGGGTGATCAATCACTGGAAATTTTTAAAAGACTGGACAGCCATTTCTCTGAAATGGTATAGGGTTCCCCCAAAAGTCCCTTCTAAGTGTTATTCTGTTATTCTGACACCTTTCCCAGGACCTCGACTCAGAGTTTGGTATCCTCAGTTTTCCTGCCTGAGCAGGGGCTTGGACTAGAAGACCTCCATAGTCCCTTTCAACTCTGTTAAACACACTTGTATTTATGCTCTGGACCATAGACATTGAATGCATGTAAACTCTGAAAAATATGTGGTAGCCCTGGGCAAAAGAAAGGCAGTAGAATCACTCTAGGTGTAGGGACAGTGTAAAATATTAACACATGATAAATAATGGAACAATTAAAAATAATAGCACAGAGTTTTCTCTGTCTCTCTCTCTCCCTTCCTATTTCTTTTTCTTTCTTTTTCTCTTTCTGCCTTTCTCTCCCTTCCTTTCTTTTTTTCTCTCTCTCTCACACACCACACTCTCTCCCTCCCTATTTCTTTCTTTCTTTCTTTCTTTCTTTCTTTCTTTCTTTCTCTTTCTTCCCCTTTCTTTCTCTTTCTTCCCCTTTCTTTCTCTCCCTTCCTCTTTCTGTGCTATTATTTTTAATTGTGTGTTTAACAGAGTTGAAAGGGAGTTTGGAGGTCTTCCAGTCACATGACCACTAAGCCACACCCACCCAGTCACATGACCACAAGCCACTCCCACCAAATTAGTCACGCCCGCAAACCAGTAGTAAAAATTTTTGAATTCCACCATTGGTGCAAACTTTGAAGAATAGGCTTGTTTCCCCATAAACTTTCTTCAAAATTCCTGAGGATTTATTCTGCATATGAGTCCAGTGAAGTTGAGTGGCTAATTAATATAAACAAGTAAACAATAGGATGCATAAACAGCAGAGGTTTCTGTTGTAACCTCCCATGGTTCTTCTGAAGCACATTTTAGCATTACCATATGAAAGAAAATAATTATGGTTTTTACACACATAGAATATAAATTCCAGTCTAACACAGTACCCTGGGACAGAGGCAAGGAATGCAGAATCTTAATTGGCAATAGAACTGGCCAGAGACAATGGAAATGGTTTGGTCGCAAGTAGAGGATCAATCACAAGTCAAAACTACGGCAACAAAAAGAAGTAAACATGCTGTAGGTTTGTACTGCAGTTCTTAATGCTTCTAAAGAAAATTCTTCCCTTCTTTGCTGTGAAAGCAAAGTACACACAGTCCACAAATAACCCATCCAATATATACCATACTGAATTAAAGAGAACACTCTAGTATACACCGAATAAATAATGGATAAAGTCCATTACAATGATCTATTCTCAAATTTCCTATGAAACTCACTATACAGAATGTTTGAGTATTTTGGGGGGTTGCAAATTATCTTGAGTAGCTAAAGCATACCCAGTATTTAAATTATCCATAACATTTGGGTTAGTCACTCAGCTAGCTTACTAAAGAAAGAAAATGAAACTAACTTAACATTTCATTAAGAAATAAAGATGAAGTAAGGTACTATTATTCAAAATAATAGTAATAAAGCTGATGTCAAGGCTCCGACTAACGAACTCAAGCAAACCAGAAACCTGAAACTTGGCTCCTCAAAGGTCTTCTTTAATGAGTACATCATATTGGCACAGCTTCAATAGAAAACAAATCAAAATCTTTCCCACAGGTTCAGTATAATTAAACTAGGAAATAACCCCATCCCCAAGTATCACAAGGTCATGTTGGCCATTTGAGTTAATTAATGGGCTCTTCGTGCACTTCTTTCCCAACCTTATCTGTTGCTAGTGGAGATAACCTTGGTTCTCATGAGAAAGCTCTTTGTTGTGTCTAGTAATGCATTCCAA